GCTGAAACGGGAAAACGTTTTCTAATAGAAAGGACAGACATATCTCATACTAGCACTTTTGATATTTATTGGATCAAATAGAAAAGAATCAAGAAATTCCAATATGACTATGAACTTCACAAATCTATTTACACTCACACAACCATAAATCCGTATATACGATATATGCATTTACAGGTTAAGAAAATAAGTGTATTTAAAGAATTACAACTTATCACTAACAAGGAAAGTTTAGGAATGCCATAATGAATAAGATATTCATATTCCTGTATACCTCCAAGGCAGATTTTCATAACACTTTTCTGTCATAGTTCAGTTGAAGCTCAGATTGGGAAATATACTAAACTGACTAAAAATAAATAATGATAAAAATGTATTCATATCAAATAGACACTTTTATAGTAGTCACTGGCTGTTCAGATAAAAAGTATAAAAAATATACACTTTAAATACTAATTTGCCTGTGGCTCCACTGCTCATGAGATTTTCCAAAATGATTAAAATCATTACAACTTCGTTCACAACTATCCACATATACAAACACAACATAACCACAAATTATAAATTTTACATTTACATAAACATCTAATTCAGCATGTATAAACAGTAGTGGAATGTGAATTTATAATATTCACTGGCAAGTGCAATTATGTCCCTGTGTGTCGATGTGTCAATGACAGTGCCTGGTCAAAACCATCAATGTCAACATGATTACACATAAAGAGGTTCACCTGGGGATTCCCTACAAATTACTGGAGGTGGCTGTTCATGACATGTTCATGTTCATGTTCATTTCCTAATATTAGGAAATGACAATCACCTTCACTTTCAAGTTACGTATACACATACACTCGTATATACATATATACATATACACATACTTATCTAGTTACATACCAATTCATAAACAATGCATGCATGAATGAATGAATGTATGCATATTTATGTTAATATCCATATCAAATTTATATGAACACACATAATTACATATACATATATAAACATATATCTATATATATACATACATATGAAAAATAAGAGATATTTCACTTACGAGGCATGGTCGGGCAGGCTATAACTGACACTGCATTCAGATTCTCGTCTACCGCTGAGGCGCACCATCTACCGCTCACTGTCTCCCTGTTTATCACTCCTCCTTCTCCCTCCATTTCGATTGTCTCCTCCATCCCTTCTTCGCCAACGCATCCACTCACGATTTCTCCATCATGTCGGAAGGGAACACATGCTGTGGCGTTCACTGGTGGCTGTTCACTTGGAGCTGAGGGTAAGGTATACAGTTCATTATCTAAACACAAAAGGACAAATGCTTAAATTCGGGTTCATATCTAACTCTTTTAGGCTTATAGCTTATAGGAAAACGATTGTCTAATACTGGCCTTTTTTATCAAATGCTATGGAATGTTTATCATAAAGTTTTATCAGAAAATGTTCAAAGTATTATGAAATGACATTGACAACAAATATATATACACACATGATATATATATATATATATATATATATATTATATATATATTATATATATATATATATATATATAAAAATATTTATATATATATAATAATATTATATATTATAATATATAATAATAAAATAATATATTAAATATATATATAATATATAATATATATAATTATATATATATATATATAATATAATAATTAATATATATAGATCAGCATACAGAACTGGGAAGTGAATTTATAGTTATTCACAGGTAAGTGCATTTATGTCCGTATGTTGTCGAGGAGTGTCACTGACAGATACAATGGTCAAAACCACCAATGTCAACATGATCACACATAAGTGGTTCACATTCTCACCTGAGGATTCGCTGAGAGGTTTACTGAGGGTGGCAGTTCAATTACAGCTGAAGGGGAAATATTGATTTTTTAAAAAGGATAAGTATCTATGAAATATCGATATTCGGAAATGACAAAGACCTTTATTTTCTTCTCATGTACCAATGCATACACTCATAAATATGCATACATACGAGTATATATGCATATATGTATATACTATATATACACATTTCTCTTATTCCTTTATTCATTTACTTAGAGATAATAAGTACATGCATAACTTGATGTTTATATGTATGTATATGTATAGGCACATATGTACACACACATATATATATGTGTGAAATTTCACTTACGAGGCATGGTCGGGCAGGCTATAACTGACACTGCATTCAGATTCTCGTCTACCGCTGAGGCGCACCATCTGCCGCTCACTGTCTCCCTGTTTATCACTCCTCCTTCTCCCTCCATTTCGATTGTCTCCTCCACCCCTTCTTCGCCAACACATCCACTCACGATTTCTCCATCGTGTCGGAAGGGAACACATGCTGTGGCTTTCACTGGTGGCTGTTCAGTTGGAGCTGAGGGTAAGGTATACAGTTTATTATCTAAACACAAAAGGACAAATGCTTAAATTCGGGTACATATCTAACTCTTTTAAGCTTATAGCTTATAGGAAAACGATTGTCTAATACTGGCATTTTTTATCAAATGCTATGGAATGCTTATCATAAAGTTTTATCAGAAAATGTTCAAAGTATTATGAAATGACATTGACAACAAATATATATATACACATGATATATATATATATATATATATTATATATATATATATTAATATATATAATATATATATATATATATCAGCATACAGTACTGGGATGTGAATTTATAGTATTCACAGGTAAGTGCATTTATGTCCGTATGTGTCGAGGAGTGTCACTGACAGTACATGGTCAAAACCACCAATGTCAACATGATCACACATAAGTGGTTCACATTCTCACCTGGGGATTCGCTGGAGGTTACTGAAGGTGGCAGTTCAATTACAGCTGAAAGGGAAAATATGATTTTTAAAAAGGATAAGTATCGATGAAATATCGATATTCAGAAATGACAAAGACCTTCATTTTCTTCTCATGTACCAATGCATACACTCATAAATATGCATACATAAGAGTATATATGCATATATGTATATACTATATATACACATTTCTCTTATTCCTATATTCATTTACTTAGAGATATAAGTACATGCATAACTGATGTTTATATGTATGTATATGTATAGGCACATATGTACACACACATATATATATGTGTGAAATTTCACTTACGAGGCATGGTCGGGCAGGCTATAACTGACACAGCATTCAGATTCTCGTCTACTGCTGAGGCGCACCATCTGCCGCTCACTGTCTCCCTGTTTATCACTCCTCCTTCTCCCTCCATTTCGATTGTCTCCTCTACCCCTTCTTCGCCAACGCATCCGCTCACAATTTCACCATCGTGTCGGAAGGGAACACATTCAGTGGCGTTTACTGGTGGCTGTTCACTTGGAGCTGGGGTAAGGTACATATAGTTTATCATCTAAACACAAAAGTCGAATGCTAAAAATTCGGGTACATATCTAAGCTTATAGCTTAGTGGAAAATGATTGTCTAATACTAGCATTTTTTCTTAAAGCCTATAGAATCATTAAGTTTTATCAGAAAATGTTCAAAGTATTATGAAATGACATTAAGAACAAAATATATATAATATATATAATATATATATATATATATATATATATATATATATAATATATATAATTATATATAAATATATATATATATATATAATATATATATATATATATATATAATATATATACATATATGTACATACAGATATCTAAATCAGCATACAGGACTGGGATATGAATTTATAGTATTCCCTGGTAACGGCATTTCTGTCCGTGTGTCTCGATAAGTGTCACTGACAGGCATGGTCAAAACCACAAATGTCAACATGATCACACATAAGAGGTTCACATTCTCACCTGGGGATTCGCTGGAACTTATTGAAGGTAACACTCCTTTAAGTTTATAGCTTATCGGAAAACAATTATGCTTAATAATAGCATTTTCTCTCAAATCCTATAGAATCCTTATCATTCAGTTTTATCAGAAAATTTTCAAAGTATTATGAAATGACGTTGAGAACAAATATAATAATATATATACACATGAATATAATAAATATACACATATACGAGTATATATATAAATATATATATATATATATATAATAATATAAATATATATATATATATAATATATATATATATATATATATATATAATATATATATTATATATATATATGCACAAACACAAACACGTAGTTTACATTTTCATCATTCGTGACTATATTCCAATGTTCAAAATAAACTATTTGTTTACTAAATCAAAATTCACGAACTTATTGTTGGCAGTCTTCTCTGTTTACACATGTTTGTGTATACATAAAACTATTGACACAAATGCATACTGTTTGCATTCATGTGAATATGCGCCTATGAGAACTGGGTTAAAAAAAGGTTCACTGCCTCACCTGTGGCCGTAGTGGCAGCGCCCACTGGTGGTTCTTCGGGTGGAGCTGGGAAGGAAACATCCACTTTCGACAGATATGAAAAATAATAAAAACAAGAGCTGCCCAAGATGAACAATTACCTTGAAAATTATATTCTACGATAATTTTTGGATTTTTTGCTATGAGAATAAAACTTATACTCTAACATACATAATAACAATGTATATAAAGGCACATCTACACTAGCATACATATAGCTATATATATTGTATATATATTTTTTCTTTTCTTTCTCTCCCCTTCTGTCACAGCTGAGGGGAAGATCAATATTTCCTGATAAACAAATATGACAACTATTATCTCTAAACCTACTACTCTAGGAAGTAGGATCATGTTACAGAAATTGCACAATCAACAATTTAAATAACAATTATACATTAACTTATAAAGACAAATATAAAGCAATCAACTTTGCATTTTGTCAATTTTCCGTCACTTACGAGCCATTTCCGGACACATTATAATCTTCCTGGCATTCAAATTCTCGTCCACTTCGGAGACGCACCATCTGTGGCTCTGGGTCAACTTTAAACTTCGCTCCTCCCTCTCCCACCAACTCAAATGTCTCCACCTTCCCTTCCTCGCCAAGGCATCCGCTCACGATTTCCTCTCCGTAGCGGAAGGGAACGCACCCACTACTTTCTGAAGGTGGCTCTTCCGTTTCAGCTGAGGCTGGGAAAAGGATTTCATTTTATATTACATAGCGAAAAAAATAAATGTGTATTTGTATTCAATATATTCCTTTTTACATCAAAATGACATGGGAATCATCTTCAAATTCAGAGATGTCGCGGCCGAAAGATCTACAGACTACTGTAAAGTATACACGGGTTTACGTAATGCTTTCCTACCTTCATACTCATATGTACTAGTGGTCTCTAGCGGTGATTCTGTTACATCTGAAAGGGTAAAACGCATTCTAATAAAAAAGGACAAACATATCTGAAACTGGCATTTTTCATACCTTTAAATCAAACAGAAAAATATCGAGAAGGTCGGATATGATCATGAACACAAGCGGTATCATCAAAGTTTTGAAAAAAAAATAATAATAATAAATAAATAAATATATAAATAAAATAAAATAAAGAGCACTGTATGTTTCTTAATTCAAAATGCTATTAGAAAGGCACATACACTTCTCTTATTTAACATTATATGAAACCCACACATATATAGATATTATTTCCTTGTTTCCCTTTTTTCCCTCTACCTCCTGCCACAACTAAGGGAGAAAAGACAAACATTTGTTGATATAACATAAAACATACACTCATTTATAAAATTACGTAATCAACAACACCTACCGATTCATAAATAATGCATGCATGAATGAATATGCATATGTATATATCTATATCAAATATATATGAACACACAATTACATATACATATAAACATATACATACATATGAAAAATAATAGATATTTCACTTACGAGGCATGGTCGGGCAGGCTATAACTGACACTGCATTCAGATTCTCGTCTACCGCTGAGGCGCACCATCTACCGCTCACTGTCTCCCTGTTTATCACTCCTCCTTCTCCCTCCATTTCGATTGTCTCCTCCACCCCTTCTTTGCCAACACATCCACTCACGATTTCTCCATCGTGTCGGAAGGGAACACATGCTGTGGCGTTCACTGGTGGCTGTTCACTTGGAGCTGAGGGTAAGGTATACAGTTCATTATCTAAACACAAAAGGACAAATGCTTAAATTCGGGTTCATATCTAACTCTTTTAAGCTTATAGCTTATAGGAAAACGATTGTCTAATACTGGCATTTTTTATCATAAAGTTTTATCAGAAAATGTTCAAAGTATTATGAAATGACATTGACAACAAATATATATACACACATGAATATATATATATCAGCATACAGTACTGGGATGTGAATTTATAGTATTCACAGGTAAGTGCATTTATGTCACTGATAGTACATGGTCAAAACCTCCAATGTCAACATCATTACACATAAGAGGTTTACATTCTCACCTGGGGATTCGCTGGAAGTTACTGAAGGTGGCAGTTCAATTACAGCTGAAAGGGAAAATATGATTTTTAAAAAGGATAAGTATCTATGAAGTATCAAGATATTCGGAAATGACAAAGACCTTCATTTTCCTCTCACGAAAAATGCACACATTCAAATAAATAGACATACATTCAAGTATATATGCATATATATGTATATACTATATATATATACACATTTCTCTTATTCCTTTATTCATTTACTTATAGAAAATAAACGAGTACATAAATAGATGTTTATATGTATATGTATAGGCCCATATACATATATATATATATATATATATTATATATATATATATATATATATATATATATATATATATATATATAAACACAAAAGGACAAATGCTTAAATTCGGGTTCATATCTAACTCTTTTAAGTTTATAGCTTATAGGAAAACGATTGTCTAATACTGGCATTTTTATCAAATGCTATGGAATGTTTATCATAAAGTTTTATCAGAAAATGTTCAAAGTATTATGAAATGACATTGACAACAAATATATATACACACATGAATATATATATGTATCAGCATACAGTACTGGGATGTGAATTTATAGTATTCACAGGTAAGTGCATTTATGTCTGTATGTGTCGAGGAGTGTCACTGACAGTACATGGTCAAAACCACCAATGTCAACATGATCACACATAAGAGGTTCACATTCTCACCTGGGGATTCCTGGAGGTTACTGAAGGTGGCAGTTCAATTACAGCTGAAAGGAAAATATGATTTTTAAAAGGATAAGTATCTATGAAAAATCAAGATATTCGGAAATGACAAAGACCTTCATTTTCTTCTCGCATACCAATGCACACACTCAAATAAATATACATACATATGAGTATATATGCATATATATGTACATAATGTATATATGTATACATTTCTCTTATCCCTTAATTCACTCATTATAGAAAATAAATAAATGCATAAATAGATGTTTATATGTATGTATGTATATGTATAGACACACATATTTATATATATATGAAATTTAACGTACGAGGCATGGTCGGGCAGGCTATAACTGACACTGCATTCAGATTCTCGTCTACCGCTGAGGCGCACCATCTGCCACTCACTGTCTCCCTGTTTATCACTCCTCCTTCTCCCTCCATTTCGATTGTCTCCTCCACCCCTTCTTCACCAACGCATCCGCTCACAATTTCACCATCGTGTCGGAAGGGAACACATTCAGTGGCGTTTACTGGTGGCTGTTCACTTGGAGCTGGGGTAAGGTACATAGTTTATCATCTAAACACAAAAAGTCGAATGCTAAAATTCGGGTACATATCTAAGCTTATAGCTTAGTGGAAAATGATTGTCTAATACTAGCATTTTTTCTTAAAGCCTATAGAATCATTAAGTTTTATCAGAAAATGTTCAAAGTATTATGAAATGACATTAAGAACAATATATATAAGTATATATATTATATAATATAATATATATATATATATATATATATATATATATATATATATATATGCACAAACACAAACACGTAGTTTACATTTTCATCATTCGTGACTATATCACTCCAATGTTCAAAATAAACTATTTGTTTACTAAATCAAAATTCACGAACTTATTGTTGGCAGTCTTCTCTGTTTACACATGTTTGTGTATACATAAAACTATTGACACAAATGCATACTGTTTGCATTCATGTGAATATGCCCTATGAGAACTGGGTTAAAAAAAGGTTCACTGCCTCACCTGTGGCCGTAGTGGCAGCGCCCACTGGTGGTTCTTCGGGTGGAGCTGGGAAGGAAACATCCACTTTCGACAGATATAAAAATAAAAAACAAGAGCTGCCCAAGATGAACAATTACCTTGAAAATTATATTCTACGATAATTTTTGGATTTTTTGCTATGAGAATAAAACTTATACTCTAACATACATAATAACAATGTATATAAAGGCACATCTACACTAGCATACATATAGCTATATATATTGTATATATATTTTTTCTTTTCTTTCTCTCCCCTTCTGTCACAGCTGAGGGAAGATCAATATTTCCTGATAAACAAATATGACAACTATTATCTCTAAACCTACTACTCTAGGAAGTAGGATCATGTTACAGAAATTGCACAATCAACAATTTAAATAACAATTATACATTAACTTATAAAGACAAATATAAAGCAATCAACTTTGCATTTTGTCAATTTTCCGTCACTTACGAGCCATTTCCGGACACATTATAATCTTCCTGGCATTCAAATTCTCGTCCACTTCGGAGACGCACCATCTGTGGCTCTGGGTCAACTTAAACTTCGCTCCTCCCTCTCCCACCAACTCAAATGTCTCCACCTTCCCTTCCTCGCCAAGGCATCCGCTCACGATTTCCTCTCCGTAGCGGAAGGGAACGCACCCACTACTTTCTGAAGGTGGCTCTTCCGTTTCAGCTGAGGCTGGGAAAAGGATTTCATTTTATATTACATAGCGAAAAAAATAAATGTGTATTTGTATTCAATATATTCCTTTTTACATCAAAATGACATGGGAATCATCTTCAAATTCAGAGATGTCGCGGCCGAAAGATCTACAGACTACTGTAAAGTATACACGGGTTTACGTAATGCTTTCCTACCTTCATACTCATATGTACTAGTGGTCTCTAGCGGTGATTCTGTTACATCTGAAAGGGTAAAACGCATTCTAATAAAAAAGGACAAACATATCTGAAACTGGCATTTTTCATACCTTTAAATCAAACAGAAAAATATCGAGAAGGTCGGATATGATCATGAACACAAGCGGTATCATCAAAGTTTTGAAAAAAAAAAAAATAAATAAATAAATAAATATATAAATAAAATAAAATAAAGAGCACTGTATGTTTCTTAATTCAAAATGCTATTAGAAAGGCACATACACTTCTCTTATTTAACATTATATGAAACCCACACATATATAGATATTATTTCCTTGTTTCCCTTTTTTCCCTCTACCTCCTGCCACAACTAAGGGAGAAAAGACAAACATTTGTTGATATAACATAAAACATACACTCATTTATAAAATTACGTAATCAACAACACCTACCGATTCATAAATAATGCATGCATGAATGAATGAATGTATGCATATGTATGTTTATATCTATATCAAATATATATGAACACACAATTACATATACATATAAACATATACATACATATGAAAAATAATAGATATTTCACTTACGAGGCATGGTCGGGCAGGCTATAACTGACACTGCATTCAGATTCTCGTCTACCGCTGAGGCGCACCATCTACCGCTCACTGTCTCCCTGTTTATCACTCCTCCTTCTCCCTCCATTTCGATTGTCTCCTCCACCCCTTCTTTGCCAACACATCCACTCACGATTTCTCCATCGTGTCGGAAGGGAACACATGCTGTGGCGTTCACTGGTGGCTGTTCACTTGGAGCTGAGGGTAAGGTATACAGTTCATTATCTAAACACAAAAGGACAAATGCTTAAATTCGGGTTCATATCTAACTCTTTTAAGCTTATAGCTTATAGGAAAACGATTGTCTAATACTGGCATTTTCTATCATAAAGTTTTATCAGAAAATGTTCAAAGTATTATTGAATATATATATATCAGCATACAGTACTGGGATGTGAATTTATAGTATTCACAGGTAAGTGCATTTATGTCACTGATAGTACATGGTCAAAACCTCCAATGTCAACATCATTACACATAAGAGGTTTACATTCTCACCTGGGGATTCGCTGGAAGTTACTGAAGGTGGCAGTTCAATTACAGCTGAAAGGGAAAATATGATTTTTAAAAAGGATAAGTATCTATGAAGTATCAAGATATTCGGAAATGACAAAGACCTTCATTTTCCTCTCACGAAAAATGCACACATTCAAATAAATAGACATACATTCAAGTATATATGCATATATATGTATATACTATATATATATACACATTTCTCTTATTCCTTTATTCATTTACTTATAGAAAATAAACGAGTACATAAATAGATGTTTATATGTATATGTATAGGCCCATATACATACATATATATATATATATATATATATATATATATATATATATATATATATAAACACAAAAGGACAAATGCTTAAATTCGGGTTCATATCTAACTCTTTTAAGTTTATAGCTTATAGGAAAACGATTGTCTAATACTGGCATTTTTTATCAAATGCTATGGAATGTTTATCATAAAGTTTTATCAGAAAATGTTCAAAGTATTATGAAATGACATTGACAACAAATATATATACACACATGAATATATATATGTATCAGCATACAGTACTGGGATGTGAATTTATAGTATTCACAGGTAAGTGCATTTATGTCTGTATGTGTCGAGGAGTGTCACTGACAGTACATGGTCAAAACCACCAATGTCAACATGATCACACATAAGAGGTTCACATTCTCACCTGGGGATTCGCTGGAGGTTACTGAAGGTGGCAGTTCAATTACAGCTGAAAGGGAAAATATGATTTTTAAAAGGATAAGTATCTATGAAAAATCAAGATATTCGGAAATGACAAAGACCTTCATTTTCTTCTCGCATACCAATGCACACACTCAAATAAATATACATACATATGAGTATATATGCATATATATGTACATAATGTATATATGTATACATTTCTCTTATCCCTTAATTCACTCATTATAGAAAATAAATAAATGCATAAATAGATGTTTATATGTATGTATGTATATGTATAGACACACATATTTATATATATATGAAATTTAACGTACGAGGCATGGTCGGGCAGGCTATAACTGACACTGCATTCAGATTCTCGTCTACCGCTGAGGCGCACCATCTGCCACTCACTGTCTCCCTGTTTATCACTCCTCCTTCTCCCTCCATTTCGATTGTCTCCTCCACCCCTTCTTCACCAACGCATCCGCTCACAATTTCACCATCGTGTCGGAAGGGAACACATTCAGTGGCGTTTACTGGTGGCTGTTCACTTGGAGCTGGGGGTAAGGTATAGTTTATCATCTAAACACAAAAAGTCGAATGCTAAAATTCGGTACATATCTAAGCTTATAGCTTAGTGGAAAATGATTGTCTAATACTAGCATTTTTTCTTAAAGCCTATAGAATCATTAAGTTTTATCAGAAAATGTTCAAAGTATTATGAAATGACATTAAGAACAATATATAGTATATATATATATATATATATATATATATATATATATATATATATATATATATATATATATATATATATATATATATATATATATATATATATATATATATATATATATAATATTATATATATATATACATATATGTACATACAGATATCTAAATCAGAATACAGGACTGGGATATGAATTTATAGTATTCCCTGGTAACGGCATTTCTGTCCGTGTGTCTCGATAAGTGTCACTGACAGTGCATGGTCAAAACCACAAATGTCAACATGATCACACATAAGAGGTTCACATTCTCACCTGGGGATTCGCTGGAACTTATTGAAGGTAACACTCCTTTAAGTTTATAGCTTATCGGAAAACAATTATGCTTAATAATAGCATTTTCTCTCAAATCCTATAGAATCCTTATCATTCAGTTTTATCAGAAAATTTTCAAAGTATTATGAAATGACGTTGAGAACAAATATATATATATATATATATACATGATATATATATATATATATATAATATATACACATGAATATAATAAATATACACATATTTATATATATATAATATATATATATATATATATATATATATTATATATATATATATATATATATATATATATATATATATATATATATATTATATATATGCACAAACACAAACACGTAGTTTACATTTTCATCATTCGTGACTATATCACTCCAATGTTCAAAATAAACTATTTGTTTACTAAATCAAAATTCACAAACTTATTGTTGGCAGTCTTCTCTGTTTACACATGTTTGTGTATACATAAAACTATTGACACAAATGCATACTGTTTGCATTCATGTGAATATGCGCCTATGAGAACTGGGTTAAAAAAGGTTCACTGCCTCACCTGTGGCCGTAGTGGCAGCGCCCACTGGTGGTTCTTCGGGTGGAGCTGGGAAGGAAACATTCCACTTTCGACAGATATGAAAATAATAAAAACAAGAGCTGCCCAAGATGAACAATTACCTTGAAAATTATATTCTACGATAATTTTTGGATTTTTTGCTATGAGAATAAAACTTATACTCTAACATACATAATAACAATGTATATAAAGGCACATCTACACTAGCATACATATAGCTATATATATTGTATATATATTTTTTCTTTTCTTTCTCTCCCCTTCTGTCACAGCTGAGGGGAAGATCAATATTTCCTGATAAACAAATATGACAACTATTATCTCTAAACCTACTACTCTAGGAAGTAGGATCATGTTACAGAAATTGCACAATCAACAATTTAAATAACAATTATACATTAACTTATAAAGACAAATATAAAGCAATCAACTTTGCATTTTGTCAATTTTCCGTCACTTACGAGCCATTTCCGGACACATTATAATCTTCCTGGCATTCAAATTCTCGTCCACTTCGGAGACGCACCATCTGTGGCTCTGGGTCAACTTAAACTTCGCTCCTCCCTCTCCCACCAACTCAAATGTCTCCACCTTCCCTTCCTCGCCAAGGCATCCGCTCACGATTTCCTCTCCGTAGCGGAAGGGAACGCACCCACTACTTTCTGAAGGTGGCTCTTCCGTTTCAGCTGAGGCTGGGAAAAGGATTTCATTTTATATTACATAGCGAAAAAATAAATGTGTATTTGTATTCAATATATTCCTTTTTACATCAAAATGACATGGAATCATCTTCAAATTCAGAGATGTCGCGGCCGAAAGATCTACGACTACTGTAAAGTATACACGGTTTACGTAATGCTTTCCTACCTTCATACTCATATGTACTAGTGGTCTCTAGCGGTGATTCTGTTACATCTGAAAGGGTAAAACGCATTCTAATAAAAAAGGACAAACATATCTGAAACTGGCATTTTTCATACCTTTAAATCAAACAGAAAAATATCGAGAAGGTCGGATATGATCATGAACACAAGCGGTATCATCAAAGTTTTGAAAAAAAAATAAAAAATAATAAATAAATATATAAATAAAATAAAATAAAGAGCACTGTATGTTTCTTAATTCAAAATGCTATTAGAAAGGCACATACACTTCTCTTATTTAAATTATATGAACCACACATATATAGATATTATTTCCTTGTTCCCCTTTTTTCCCTCTACCTCCTGCCACAACTAAGGGAGAAAAGACAAACATTTGTTGATATAACATAAAACATACACTCATTTATAAAATTACGTAATCAACAACACCTACCGATTCATAAATAATGCATGCATGAATGAATGAATGTATGCATATGTATGTTTATATCTATATCAAATATATATGAACACACAATTACATATACATATAAACATATACATACATATGAAAAATAATAGATATTTCACTTACGAGGCATGGTCGGGCAGGCTATAACTGACACTGCATTCAGATTCTCGTCTACCGCTGAGGCGCACCATCTACCGCTCACTGTCTCCCTGTTTATCACTCCTCCTTCTCCCTCCATTTCGATTGTCTCCTCCACCCCTTCTTCGCCAACACATCCGCTCACGATTTCTCCATCGTGTCGGAAAGGAACACATTTACTGCCGTTCACTGGTGGCTGTTCACTTGGAGCTGAGGGAAATGTGTGAACTCAATTCTCTCAACTCTGTTATTAGGATTTACACAATGACCGACAGAAATTCGGATTTATATCTAAGACACTCCTATAATTCATATGAATGATGTCTTTCAAATACAAGAGATGTACTTTATCGGTGTCAAATATATCTTCATAAGAAATACATGCATTTCTAACCAAGATATATTCGAAACTGGTCAAGTGCTACCCTTGTAATGTGATGATATTCATTCCCATTCATACCTTTTCTACTCCTTTAATTTTATAGCTTAGAGGGCGAGTATGTCTAATACTGGCAATCTGACTCAAATCCTATAGAATCCTTATTATGAAGTTATATCAGAATATGTTCAAAGTATTATGAAAATGCATTAAATATGTATATACATATATATTATATATATATAATATATATATATAATATAATATATATATATATATATAT